ATTCGATTGTATAATTCAAGCATGTAACAGGAGTACAAAATGTTTCTATTGATTCTTTATCATAAATTGAAATTGTTGCAAAATATATCCTTTTTTCTTAAATTGTAAGTTATTTTAACATTAATTTGGAAGTAGTATTATTAATATTCAATATACGACAGTTTTAGTCTGAAATATTCAAAGAAGTATCCTATATATTATAAATACATATGTATGAATTCCAATATATCACTTGTAAAAAATATAATAAAAATATTGCTTTGATAACTTGAAAATGTTCAAAATATTATGGAAGAAACAACTTGATAGAAATATATTAATTAATAGTATATTATTATATACAAATAATGTTAGAGTATATATATATATATATATATATATATATATATATATAATACATATATTAACAAAAAAATATATAATAAATTATATATAATAAAATGATTCTGAAAAGTTAGTATTAAAATATATTGATATTTTTTATGGAAAGATGAAGTGATATAATAAACAAATATATGAAATTAATAGGGAAGTTAATATGGTAACAAGTGTCAGTTTTTTTCAGGCTCTTATCCTTAATTAATAAAAAATTTTTATTCAATTTGCGATTATAAATCCTTACAGTTTGAATTACATTTAATTATACTAGCCGTTATTATTAGCACAATAAAACAAATTTATATTAGAATTAAGAATAGATTTTAAATTTTTAATATTTTATTAATAAAACCTTAATTTGTTAATACATAAAATATTTTAAATAGAACTAACTCTTATAATTTTTCTTTATTTTTATAAAATAAATATGGACATATAATTTATACAATTAGTGCATTTATTAAAACAATATTAAAATTATTTATTAATCTGTTAATTTTGTGTAATTATATAATTCAATTTATTCTATATATATGACGGTTAAAATGCATATAATAGATAATTAATTTTAAAAATACTTATTATTATATAAGACCATATTCTTATATATTCATATAAAACCTAATTCCTTTATTCTCTCATGGAAATTATCCAGTGTTTATTTAAATCATTTAATAAATTCGAAAAAACGGTTCTTAGCTTACCTTGTGCGAAACATTTCTCTTCGAATAAAAATTCAAATTAGAGCTGTCAGATATTTTTATATCGACTTACGTAAATCAAATAGCAACAATTATAAGTTATGAAAAAAAAAAAAATTGATGTGAATCATTAAAGCTACATTCTTTGTACATGCTAGCTGCGAAATGTCTTGTCGACCTACATTTTCACTCACCACTAGCACTAATTTTATTTTCAATCTGTTTATTGATAATAAGTAATAATAATAATAAAAATAATAATAATAATAATAACAATAACAACAACAATAACAACGATGACGATGTCGATCAGGGGATACTTAACGATATTTATATTTTAAAAAGCTTGTAATTTTAGTCGTTTTAAGGAATAATTTACAAAATTTTATTAGTCATTTTGTTTTTATGTTTAAATTGAAACATATATTTATGCGATTTCATCTCAAACAAATATATGGTTAAATATTTAATTCGAATGAAAACAAAATTTGAGAATTAAGTATGAACAAGTGTAATTATCAAATTGAAACGTAGACCCACCCTTATCAGTTTTTTAAAAATATAATACTATGTAATGAATGTTGCATGCACCAAGCATATTTTTCAACAAATTATATTTTTCATTTATTAACGGTTTGTATTTGTAAAACAATTGTGGAATAATCTGTTTTATTGTTTCATTGCATTAAGGCTAAATATCTTATAGTTATTAGCTTAAATTTCAATAAGATTTTGTTACAGCTATTACAGTTAAGTAATTAAACGATGAAGCCGAATAAAAACGCATTTGACGAAAATGTACAGTAAGCGTGCAGGCGCTCTTAAACCTCGCACGCTTGCATTTCTTAACTAATGGCGGCGCAAGGGCAAAGCTTAGGACGTTTGTAGATGATATGTTGTTCACAGCTTTTTGCTATGAACAGTGTTAGATCTCTTAAAAGCAAAAATATAGACATGTCCCTTCTCACACGCACAGCAACTAGGTATACCCGGTAGCATCAGAAAATGCTTCCGTTGTATGAGTTGCTGGCTATAGACGATAACTTTTGCATTCACTATTACCGGAGCACACAACATACATCGAGTGTACTGATGTGCCCCTCTTACGGACTATGATAAGAGGGTTGTCGTTCTACCTGCCACGTCGAAACTAGTTGCGCACGCAGAAGCAATAAGCTGGCGCCCCCTTTCGCTTTATAGATTAAGAAATATGACAAACCTTTAAATAAATTATGCTCCATTCGTTTCATGTTTTTAAATTATTATTAAACACTCGTTAATATATCATATTAAAAAAATATTTATTTATTATAGCCAATTCGTGGTTAAACATTCTTTTTTAAATATATGTCATTTTATATTGCCTTAGCAAAATTGCATTACAGAAAATAAATATTGTTACGAAAATATGAATGAAATGATTATATTTCTTCAAAAAGAAATAAAATAACAATTGAGTATACATTCTTATTTCATATAATTATTGTATCTAAATCCGTCATTCCATATTGATTTGTTTAGTTATTATTGTTACAGAAAATTTTTTCTTCCATCCACATTTTTTTAATTCATTTTATACGATATAACGTTTAATAAATTTAATAAATCCCAATTTGTTATGGAAGTAATTTCTTTACATAATTATTTCTTTTTGTTTTTACAGCATATATAATTCTCAAAAGTGCGCGCGCAAGCATGACCAAAGTGCTATCCCCTCTAAATCTATTGATTCATTTAATATTGGTGTACTTTTTTTCATATTTTATAATTTTTTGGCTTGATACCAGGTTATGTATTTAATATAAATTTGTTTGTAACATACCAAGCCTATTTTTCACTTTATCCGTTTTTTTTTATTAGCTTATTCAAATAATTAACAATAGTTGTTATTGCATATCAACAACTCGTTAAAATGACAAGAAATAATGGAGATTTATTTCATTTTCTTTTTGCTATTTTTCTTGTTTATTATATATATTTTTTGTAAATATTTTATATTAATATTTTTTTTCTTACATTTATTTTTTATACGAATTTATATAACATGGGGAATATATACAAACTAATGATAGAACAAATTTAATAAGATTTAATTATTCGACAACGTGACAAGCAATATATTAGAATTACTAACTCGACAAATGTAAAGAAAAAAAAAATAATAATCTAAACGATTGTTGCAAAACGTATATCGTTGTCACAGTATTACACACCTACAAATCACATATTTGAAGGAAAATATCTAAATTTATTGATGTTTTCTTGTATATTTATTTGTATTCGTATTTTATTAATTATATAGATTATTATAACTACGCAAAAATATTAGTTGACCATCTGAAACTATATACTTTTGATGTTCATCGTTTAATTAACAATATTAGGTTTTTATGGAATAATATGTACAATTATGTGTACAATTAAAATTTCTATTCTATAATATTAAATGATATATCAGTTTTATCATTGTCAAATGCAAAATATTTAAAGTAGTCTAAGATTTAAGTTTTATCATCTGAATATTTCTAACTGTAATATTATTTGTACTTTTTGAATTTATTTGTTATTTACCTAATATTTATTTTTATGAATTTTAAATACATGTCATATGTCGAAAATAAATAATTCGTTCAGAAATAATGTTTTTGTAAATTTTTCAAAGTTTTTTTAAAGATAAAGTAGCATTGCAATAAAATCGAATATGTTATTTCACTAAATGTTTCCATGAACATTGACTAAATAAAAAATAGGAATTGGCATGAAACTCACATAATTTAATATATAACGTTGTCATAATTTCTACATTTATTATGCTATTCAATCTGCAAAGCTTGGGGGAATTAACTTTAATTGTATTTGTACCTAGTACGTTTTATTTAATTATTCTTTCTTTTATTCTATTTTTTTATTTACTTTCAATTACATTCTATTATTCTAAATTATTATAATTATTTGTCATATTTTATTTGATTAAATATTTCATTTTTTCGAATTTTATATCATAATTTTATGTATTGCTTTTATTTTATTAAATGAGCTAGCATTAACATTCTGTTTTAATTAATTTTTGTTCTACAGTTTTGTTTTGAAACTATTTTTTCTATTGTGTGACGTTACTATTATTAGATACTTTTCGTATATATATATTTTGAAGAAAATGGATTAGGATGACTAAATATTTTGAACATGCTTAAATGTAGCTAAATAAGATGATTAATAACTTTAACAAAAAGAAATTAAATTAGTTATAGGACAATCTGTTCTCAACAAATCTTAATGTGATATTCAACGATTATCCTTATAAAATTGTTACTGTATTTATATAAATTTTATATGTAATAACATTTTCGTACATTCAGTATAAGATGATATATTCATAAATTTATATTTGTGTTCATTTTATTTATCAATATTAATTACACTAACGGTAGATATTAAAAGTGTACCAATTAATCTCAATAAATTAAATTGCTTGATAATAATAATTTTAAGATTATTTTAATAAATATTTTTTAATATTAATTATAGGTATTTAAAAGAAGAACAACTGTTATTGATTTGATATATAATTGATCACAAAAGAAGGAATTAAGTATAGATAAAAACGAATTATTTAAAGTATACATAATATATAATATTTTTTAGAATACTTGTTTAACTTTACTATAATTTTTTATAAATGATTTTGATGTGAAAAATATACAGATCTATAGTCTAAAGTGTATACGTAACCTAATTTATAATGTATATTTACAAAAGGTTTTTACAAACTTAGTTACATTGATAATAAAAGGCATTTAATAATAATTGATATCAACTGCGAATCAATAGATTTTTTTATAAAAGCTTCGTTGCAACAATTATGTAATTTTTATAAAAGGCAAGGTTTTGTATTAAAATTCAAGCTAAAACTTACCAAAATTAGATGTTTGATGCAAAAATTAGTATATTTTTAAGCTTACTCACCTGAAAAAAGTATAATAAAACATGTAAAATACAAATGAATAAATAGAATCTTTTTATTTTATTTATTTTAATGATGTAATTATATATTCTTTTCTTTGTATTGTAATATGAACAGTAGCTAAAATTAATAAGGTATACTTTTATATTATTGAATACATTTCATAAACATTTTATTTAGCAAAATTATGAAAAATATTCGAGAAAAATATAACGTAGAATAAAGCCAAATATATAGCACATGACTTACGATATTTTCAGCAAGAAGAGAGATGGACCAGAATCTAATCCTGCGTTGCATTTTAATAATATTACTAAGGCGTAATGTACGCTAAGCAAAAGTAAGTGAAATAATATGTTGTATATATAGCTTCTGAACAGTACTATGAATAGTATTTTCTAATAACCGAGGACCAAACTTGGACGTGACTATGCTTAAAGGAATTGTGTTTATATTCATCGTTTTAATCCTTTTATTTCTTATATTCACTCGCTACATGCTATACTTATTGAAATTTATAAGATCATCGATACTACTGTGCATCTAATAGTGAAACCAACACAAATTAGTATGCAATAATATTGATGCATAAAATAGAGATCTAGACGCTTTTTTGTCAAATAATAAAAATGTGAAATTATACATTGTAAATGTAGTTTATCTAATTCAGAGAAAGCCTCACGGAAATTATTTCTTATTGTATCATATGGCACATTACCAGCAGTGAAAATTTTATAACTAATAAATCGATTTTAAGAGAGAATAAGAGCCCTTTCGACATAGCTGTTTTTTTATCTATTGGCAGTGAAAGTGATGTACTGCTTTGGTTTTTCAAGAATAGATGTTCCCGGCTTATATTAATGAAGCACGAAAATGAATACTACTCATAAATATTTAGAAATGATTGTTTAAATTAATTATATATCATTAATACTATCGTTATATACACTATAATTAAATAAACAGATCATTTTATTTAAAATATTAAGCTTTAGGAACACAAATAGAAGGTAATACTAATAAAAGAATTTCAAAAGAATCAAAGGAAAATAAGTAAGCACTATTATAAAAAAAATTTATTAAGAATGCGAAATGCTATTTAGTAGTTATCATATAGTTTATGAAGTTAGACCTCTTACTGTTTTTGCACTTACGTTAATATAGCCCCCAAGGAAGATTTATAATCTACTTATATTATTGTTCCACTCGTTACACATAACAACATTTTCATCTAAAATATTAATTAATTAATCAATAATTAGATCCTTTAACTGTATATATATATATCTAGATGCGATACACATATATAATTATAAATATTAATTACTTATTATAAAAATTAATTCATACGTTACACTATTTCTTTAACCTAACACGAAACTGATACGCAAGAAAAATTATTTCTGATATAAACTGACTAGTAATTAGTAATGATAAAAACATGGATATGCTGCTGGTGTACAACACAGTTCTTATATCTCGTTATACGGGCTTTTGTTTGCTGTATATTATGTTTGACCTATATAGATTAGCCTTTCTTACTTTATTAGAAAAAGTAAAATATATTAGCTTTTTATTTAAAAATATTTATTCATGTATTATTTTTTTGTTACTCTATTAAAAGGAATTTATTAAAGCTTATATATATATATATATATATATATATATATATATACATTAAATAAATTTCAAATATAATTAATAATTTATAGTTTATCATAATTTATTGTTCTCATAAATTTTTTTATATAGTTTATTTAAAATTTGTATGTTCAATTAATGTTAAATTTATAATTAATTATAATTAATTTAAATTTATAAATAATTAATTAATCAATACATTTCTTCTGATTTACATTACAATTTATTATTATAATTTTATAATTATTAATTAAAAAAGATAAACCATAATAATATAATTATAATATAATCATAATCAATAAACTTCACGTTAGAGATAAATAATTTAATAATATTATGTTAATATTTACATTCTTTACGTTCTTTCTGAAGGAATTTGTATAAACAATATTAAAAATTAAAAATAAATATATATATATCTTGTTTATAACTCAAAACGTAAAGTCTAATTGTGAAAATAAGGAGATTATGCATAATAATATTTATGTGATTATTTATATAAAATATAAAATTTCATGATATAACATTTATTCTTCTTAAATTTTCATTTATAATCTTACGTTTCAATTTGAGAAAATATTACAATCATACCAAAACTTTGATGCGAATTTTTTAATTATAAAAAAGGGTTTATAAATTGTAATAAAAAATAACTTTGAATTAAGAATTAGTAATTAATAGCAAATATAAATTAATTTTTTTTAATATATATAATATTGAGCATCTTTTGTTGAATTCTACGTACAATTGAGTTTCGTAGGTACTTCTAATCATTGTTCGTAACAAAATATATACATTTATATATCAGTATATGCTGTATCATAACAAATTTATAATTTGTGTCAGAAAGAAAATATAATATATTAAAATACACCAATAACATGTATCAAAATAATAGATTAATAGAATTAATAATAAGAGATCTTATTTGATTAATTCATTTTTTTCTGTAAAATCTATTTGATTAATCTCTATGTGCCTAGTAAAACATAAAAAGAAAGTTATATGAAATTTATTATAAGAAAACTTTGACAAGTCTTAAGGCTATATTTACGATAAGTATTTGCTATACAAAAGAGTAAGTCTTATTTGATTATATATTAATATGGAGACAAATATCAAATTATTCATATAAATATTTTATTATATCAAAGCAAACTTTTGTCATATTGAAATATTCTAATTAATTGCTAATTAATTTTTATCAAAGACAATAATAAGTGTCTGCTTAGATATATTAGTATAAGTATGATACTCGAATTATTACAGATTAGTCATTCATAATATATTACTCTATAATTTCACCGCTTTATGTGGTATTTTTTATGTATATTTATTATTTTTACCATAAATTTATTATACACTTTTATCTTTAATCATTTAAAAAATATAGTTTTTACATAATTGTATATGCTTAAATAATTGCCAAAAATAAAAAAAAAGAATTTTATTTCGACTTAGTTACTATACTTTCCAATTTTATTATCTATTATACTATTTTGATATTTTATTCAAATATTTTATACAATTCTACAGATGAGGTGTAATATATAATGACGTTGATTATAATCAATATTTTAGTTTAATATATATATATATACTGTGCCTATAAAACAAGCATATATGTATTTAATTTAAGTTTTATCTTTATCTCCAACTCTATTTTGACTTTAATATCTGTCATTATCTCTTTTCACTTTTCTTATTCTTCACCATTCTATGCAATTTTTATTACATTTATTAACTTGAAAGATTTGATATTTTATTATTCTTTATAACATTTTTTCCAACGGATTCTACACTGTTTAAGATTCTTATTTATAATTATAGTTTATTTCAATGAGTTGACCTAACATGTTACATTAACGAGGCTATCAGGTCTCTTACTTCATTTAGCATATATATAACATTAACCAAGTTTATATTTGAAGTTTATTTATATGAGCCAAGTATGAGTATGACTATTAAAAATAAATGAATATGGTGATATCCATTAAATATAATTAAATTAAATTAAAAAAATATTAAAGACAAATAGTAATATGAACTCATTTTACGAAATTATGAAATCAATGATACATATGTGTGTATGTTGTTTGAAAAAAATATTTATCACCTTTTAAATTAATTTTAGAATGTTAAATATATTAAGTATTAATCATATAAGCAATAACTAATAACTAATAACTAATTAATAAATAAACTAAAAAATACCCAAGGAGAAATTTGCAAAGACTAAATATTCTAAATAATGATAATATTAGTTATGATATTGATGTGTATTATGAAAAATGTAAAAATAATAAAAATAAATATTATTTATTATCAATTATACATATCACTTACATTTAATTGAATAACGATTTTGTTAAAAGCCACGTGCCACCTTTGTCTTGGGGTCATCTCGGATCGTTCTTTTATTTGTGTGGGTACTGGAGGTAAATGAGATATTTCAATTAATTCTTCATTAGTTGACGGATCTGGCGGACTTCGTGGAGGTGTATCCATTTGAACACTTTCATCTAATGAATCTTGCTTTTGCATACTTCCTATTAAGTATTGAAATAGTCTTACTGTATAGTTCTGGTTACATCAGAATATGGTTAAAATTTGTATTTTCATACCTTTCGAACTATCAGATAAATGAGATTCTATCAATGAATTATCTCTAATTCCCTTAATCGTTTCCTCTCCTCGTTCATATCTATATAAAGAAATATTATTTTAAGCTTAAGTTAAATTTGTAGTTAAATATTTTTTAAAAGTAACAACTTTATTCATTTTAATAATCAAAATATATTTTGTTCATAATGAAAATATTTTTTTATGGCTATTATGATTTTTAATTACATATATAATACTTTATACACTGGATTAGGAATGTCAATAAATTAAAAAAATTATATCTATATCACGAAATAAATATTATATTTTTAATACATTTAATACATATAAAACTTAGAGAAACAAGAGATAATTTAAATTTTAGCATAAAATATTGGTATTAAAGATATAAAAAAAGTAGCACTAATTTTTTAATATTAAATTTAGTAACCAAATATTTTGTTTTTAAGAATACTCTTTATTAATGTAAATTAAAGAAATATATATATTATAAATTTACCTGTCAAGAGTTTCATTTATCGTTTTATATTCTCCAATGACTGCATTTCCAAAAGTAATTTCTGTGTCATCGATCAATTGTTGGTTTTTAAAATAGCCACGTTGATAGCTTTCACCTCGAGATATCGGTTGTGGTATGGTAATATTTTGGTTACATGTAGCTTGTTTATGGTCTTTAATATAATACGACTCTGTGATTCGTAGGGAAGGTTTAGAAAAATTTCCATGTGGCATGAAATCGTATGAGTCTTTCCTTTCCAATTGCGAACATGATTCTTTTTTAATGTAATTATCATCCGTACAATTATCAACAGTATAAGAATCTTCTATCGTAAAATTTTGTTTTTGCGAGGATTGGATCAAATGTTGATTTATTTGACTTGGGCTATTAAGTTGTGAATCATTATTACTTTCTAAAAATTCTTCTTGGTTTGATTTTCTCGGTATAAAATGTTTAGACTTACTTAAAAAATTACAAGATACAGTATTTAAATCTATATTAGATAATTCATTCTGATTAGTCGCATTCTTTAAAATTGGATTACAATGTGACGGTATCTGAATATAATTTTCTGATAAATTATCCATAGGGCTACAAACAGAATTCTTTTCTTTTGTTGTTGAGTATTCATTGAAAGCTTTATTATTATCAGTAGAACTAACTGAGTTTGTACAAAAAAAATTTCGGTCAACATGTTTAGATTCTAATATATAAAGATTCTGTTGAAGTAATGGATTAATATTACATTTAGGCATTTCTTTTGTTTCAGGAGTATATTCATTTGTTTTCATTTGTTTTTGAGGTATTGTTACGAACAACTCTGATACATTAGGTTGTACTTGATCGTATAAGTTTTTATTATATTCGCTTTCAAACAAATTTTTATAAGATTCATTATGAAAGTTGGTATAATGTTCATTTTGATCATTATTTTCATATAAATTGGAATTATCTTTTTTAGAATATGCTGTTTTAGCTTCTTCGGTACAGGATTTATTATCTTCTGATTTTAGTTGCATGTTATACAGATTTTTATGGTTATCATGGGGAATAGTTACAGAAGCAGCCTGATCATATTGTTTGATATATGGTTCATCATGAGAGGATACCATTACATCTGTATATGTATTATCGTAATCATAATTTTCATTATTATAAATTTTCGATACATCTGGAATGACTGATTGATTATATATATCTGTTATAAATTGTTTACTATAGATTAAATGCTCATTATTTTTACACGAGGAATCTAAATATTCTTTCGGACATTTACCATCAAAACACTGATTTACATATTCATCTTTATTTTGTTCATTGTGACATTGCCGCGTAATGAAAGATTGAAACGGTCGTCGGATATTGTTTTGGTCATATGATAGAGTCTGCAGGCTATCATCCGTAATTATATTATGAGTATCTTCATGTTGATAAGTTGGTAAAGATTCACTGACTTTTAAATTACCACTTGGATTAGTATATGTTTTTTCAAAACCAGATTTAAATAAATGATGATACGGCGATTGGTAATCTGCATTGTGTGAAAACTTTTCGACTATTTTATGGGCATCTTGTACCTTCGATTCTAAATAAAGTGTATCATAGTTTATATGGGGCATTTGTGGTACATCATTCGTATTAGGCTGATAACTTGGAATATCATTAATGATATGCATCGCATTGCTAATACCACTAATACCATGTTGTAGGTTATCTTGACTGTAATACGCGTAATTGTAATCCTCATTATAACTTAACTTACTGCAACATGATTCCTTTAAAGAAGTTGTTGGTCGTGGTAGATATCTTGCAGGAGTAGATGGAAGTGATGTAGGTTTCTGCCCAATAATGCTACTACTCGACTTTGTTGGAGTTGGTGGTAATTTTTTTCCTGATCCTTCTAAACGCGAGAATGGATGTTGTTGAGGTTGTAAAAATTTTCGTTTACGTGTACTGCTGTCGCTAAAAAGTATATTTAATTTACATTTACAAATTAATTAAAACATTAACCCTATAATTTTATATATTATAAATCATACTATGTTTAATTAAATATATAAACAGTTTTAATTATCTTCGATAATTTAAATTAAATTTTTACGTAGTATTTTATAAGTAATCTTAGAAGTATGTATTCATGCATTACACAAATCAATTATAAATAAATAACTATCAGCTTTAGTATAATTACATGCTAAGAAATCTTTTCTCAATGCTATATTTAAAGATACCACAAATTTTATTTGTATAAACTCATTTTGCTTATAGTAGACATTAACATATTAATCATTCTCAAGTAGAAATAAAACATAAAAATTTATATTTGATATTTTTTATATCTTCTTAATTGTAGTCAAATAGTCTGCAATTTTTAAATCAATATTTAATTATAAACAAAATTATGTTTTTCGAAAATGAACAAAGTAAATTTTCTAAATATATTTAAGCTTTCATTTTTCAAATATATACAAAAATATAAATTAAATCATTAAAAATTTTTTTCATTATAATTACATAATGAATTAGATTCATTAATTATATATGTATTTATATGTTTAAGTTATATTAATAAAAATAAATAAAATATTCTTCTACTCAATGTATTTTTATCTGATTTTAGGAGTATTTTTATCTATAATACAAAATTTAAAAGTATAAATATCTACAATACAATAGAGGAAACAAAGAATTACAAAATTAATACATCTTTGCCAAATTTAATTAATTAATTTAATTATTAATGCATATAAAATTACGTTATATTTGTTTGAATGTAATAATAGAAAGTAGCATTATAGAAAACTTCGTTTCAAAAATGGATAACAATTGTTGTAATCGAGAACAGAAGATGGTGAGTAAGAAGTGCTTTGCCACCAGCAACTGGTTTAGGAATCAAAGAGCACTTAATCAACTTTTATGACATAACAGAAAAATGAAGTCAGAAAATTATATATTGAATATTAAATAAATTAGTTTTTAATAATTATTATTAAGTTACAAGCTATAAGTTTTTGCTATACAATTGATAATAATCGCAAATAACAAAATTCGGTTAGTTTTGTACATAAGTCACAAACACAAAGATTTAATGGATTATAAATCAATAAGTCAATGACTTTAATAAGAATTTGTTAATTATTGATATAATCGAATATCAGATTTATATAATTCAAACTAGGTTAAAAAATAGTCCAATTTAATTTCTTACCAAGTAAACTAATATAATTATAACTAATTAAACTTTTAAAAGTGGTTAAAATACTATTTTTTTTGTTAATAAACAGAATATTATTAAAGTACAAATGTAAAGTTTTAATTATTATCGTTCGAAGCAGTTATATAAATGTTTATAATATATTACATGTTGTGCTAAAATAATATACATTTTATCTGATAAGCCAGTTAAATCGAATCAGATTTAAATATCTCAAATCTGTATTATTGAAAATATGGATAAATATAAATTATAATGGTATATTGTTTATTGCAAATTCTTTTATACATTCTAAATAACTAATTATGAAGAAATTCTTCATGTATCAGTTTTAACAATAATCTTAAATTCAAAATTTAAATACAATCTATTATAAATAATGATATAGATTACTATTCCATTAAAACAGATAAATTACTGTTTTAATTCATTTTATTACATACATAATTCAAATTCGGTTAATACAATATAATAAACCTATTCCTTAAAATTCAAAAGTGTTTTTAAAAAATTACTGTTATTGTTATTGTTGTATACCATTAATGTTTTTTTACATTATAAAATTAGTAGTTAAACAAGAAAGTGGCACTACATGGAAAATTAAATACAAATTAAGTACATCAAAATCATTAAACAAGAAAATCATCAATGTATGTCCATTATCTAATATTTTTTAAAATGTTGAATAAAATTAGAATTCTTTAATACTATACTGTATTAAATTTTACATTTCAATTACATTAAAATTAAAAGATTACTCACTGAGTATTGAATACCTCCTTTAGTATTTTTTATTAGAAAGTTTTTACTATAAATTCTAAAGGTATATCATTTAGATTACAATTTGCGAGATTAGACCCGCAATTTATCAATTGAAACAACATATTATATCAGGAAGAAAAATAATTCACTAATTGTTATATTGATGATTTGTTAATTTTGTAGTCCATAGTTTATATAACCATTTTATAATGTGCAAAATTAGTAAAACCATTTATCATATCGATTATTGCTTGAAAAAATACATTAATAGACATATTTTCGGAATGAAAATTCTATATATATTAAATATTGTGTATGTATCATGAAAATATAAACTAATATGTCAAATTTACAGGAAAGCAATAGAAATGGAGCACGGCGATTTAAATGAAAATTATATGAAAACTTTACTTTTATATATAATTCTAGACTAAAATTTGAAGAAAATAACATAATGAAATTTTATGGTTTAAAAATATCGATGAAAAATAAATTTTTTGTATTCATTATATCTATCTTTGTTTTTGATAATATAATTTTTTATACTTTTTATACTTCAAAATAGTGAACAAATTTGAAAATATTTAATAGATAAAAATTCACTAATCCGTAAATATAATGAAACTATTTTTCGCTGATTTATATTGCTCAGTCGCAGACTATTTTAGTTTTTAACTATTTTAACTATTTCGATTATAAATCATGAAAATAGTAAATAAAACAGGTTGATGAATGGTTAAAATTATAATATTTATTAACTGTGTTTATTCAGTTCTAGCAATCCCTAATGTACTATAAGAAATTCAAGTGTTTAACTGAAAAAAATAATTTTTATATTTTTAGATCATATAAAATTACTATTATAATAAAAATAAATTTAAAAAAAATTCAGTATTAATGCGATAATTTATATTATTTACATACACTTATATTATCATATATGAACAAATTTGAAGCGCAGCACTAGTAGAAAACATAAAGTAAACCGAATTTTCGAAAAGTTTTGTGAAAAACTACAAAAAAATATTTAAGTCTATTATTAATCTTTATTAGCTTTTACCGAAATATACCTAATTGACAGAACATTCTTCAATAATGATTGACAATAAAAAGACAAAATATTGAAATATTGTTTCAAATTTTTATAAAAATATAGTAATTTTTTATGTAGCGATTAATAAATAATTGTTCTTAAATATCATAATAATTAAAAATCAAAATTTTATAGTTTCTTTATGACAGTTTGTAAATTAAAGCACGTTTTGAAATAATTCTGAATTCTGTGTTGCATCATATATTTATATGAAATACGTGAAAAACGTGAATCCATGCCTTCAAATATTTAATAAAAAGCAATAATTAAAATATATTTTTAATAATTATAAGCAAATTTTAATATAATTTAATGTATTTTAAGACTCAATCTGAATTACCTATATTCATAATCTTCTGACTCACAACTACATTGTCTTGCAATTGCTGGTCCATAATCAGGTCGGTGAATGTCAATACTAGAAAAAGGTCTTTCAGGCAGGATTTTTTTATTACTTTTGATTTCGTTATATAATTCCGAAAACCATCTTCCTCCACTATCCCACTGCCTATCTTCATTATCTGGACCATAGCTATGTTTTATATCAATATATTTATAATTATATTATTTCGTTTATTTGTAAAAATAAAATATTTTGAATGAATATTATATTTACTTTATAATAACTTCATAATAAATTTTTCATAAATAGATTTCAATTTAAAATTATATTATAGAACTGCTCTAAATGCCAGTGATCAATGCGTTGTTGCAAAATCAAATTGAAAAGTAATCAACTATTTTAAAAAATAATATAAAAAATAATTTTTTTATTGATGCAGTTTTCAATTTATTCTATTAAATGTAAACATGTTTGAATTAGCACATTTCATAATTAATTTTATTAACAAAAATAATGAGGGATATTTACAGTTTTACGTAGTCATAAAATAGGATTAAGTTTTAAAATCATTTAATATTGTAAATTAAATAGACAATCTAAATTATATTAAATTTAAAACAATACATAATAAAGTGATGAAATAAAGTCTATTAAACAAAGTCTTATTTTAATCTTCAGAATAATTTTATTTAATTTTAATTTTATTTTATTGATTCTATTTAACTACTATTATATATATTAGGATTTATATAAAATAAATACTTTTATAACCTTCTATTTATAAACAAATTATTATTATTTATTATGTATTTGTAGATAATTAATAAATTAATTTTCATTAATATTAATTTTTGGTTTATATAATTTAATTAATATTTTAATTATTTGTCAGTTAATTCCTGTACTTTTTAACGTTTCAATATCTAATAAATCTATTTAATGTTAAATTCCTGAATACGGTTTGCAATAATTATTTTGTCTTATAATTGTTTTCTTAGATAATATGTAATTTGTTAAAAAAATCAAATAAAGTAAATAAATAAATAAAACATCCATAAACTCTACAAATATCTGCAATATAATCACGTTACAGAAATGCATTTCTTTACATTTATTTCATTTAATTTATTTATTAATTATTATACTATGAACTCAATACCAACATGTGAACGTTAAGTAACTTCTTTCTATTTTATCAATATTGAACAATTTTAATGGTTACTTTTGTTTGGACAAATCTAAATTCATAACATACCATAGAAGGATATGGACTAATTATCTTTGGAAGTAGTGTAGAAGTTGGTATGAAGCAAAAGAAATACTGTAGTTCATTTAACTATATATATCCATGAACTAAATATATAAATTTGATCATTTTAATCAACAAAAAGATCATTTGTTCATAATAAAGTATAACATTTCTACCATTGTTAGAACCATACAACTACTTCCAATATAGATTAAATATTAATTCGGCTTTCATATTTACTTTGTGTAATTTTAGTTAGCGGTGAATTTATTTGAATTAATTTTACGTGAATAAAGTATCTATTTCAAATATATATTACTTAGTGTTTAAAAGCTATTTTTAAAAAAATATATACTTATAATTTTCATTTTCTATTTTTTAATTTCCAAAAATTTAAGAAAATATAATGCCTTTAAAATTTCATAATACTATATAAATATTTTATTTCTTATATTTTAAATAATACTAAAATAATTTGTACCAATATAATATTCTTAATATATATTTCAAGGCATAGATATAAAAGACTGACTACACATCATAGCAAGAAAAAAATGCTTTTGAAAATTGTGATAAATTTATAGAAAAAGCATTTGACCAAGCAAACCAAGCATGTAAAATTTGACTGTTTATTCAGTTTGGAAATCATTTGTGCATGCATTAAATTCTGTTTAACACATCGATTGTACTGGGAATTCGCTGATATTCTTTTAGGATTGGATTTTGTTATATTTTGGCTTGGAATTGTCACGTTTAATATTATAGTATTGACGTTCTTTTGTAGAATATTCAGATTGATGAATCTAATGTATTAATGTATTAATATTATGAAAAAATTTTTAATAAATTATTACATGTGATTTAAAACATTTGAACATTGAAGATAATAATTTGTATAAATATAATAAATTTGTTTTTTTTGTGAATGAGTTTTTTTGAAATTTTGCAAATGAATTTTTTTTGTTTATTAATTTAATAGTAATTTTCTGGTTTTTTAATCAATCCAATTAATGCAGATTTTGTATGATTTATCAACATATAACTTTATTTAGTATTCACAAGGTTCATTATCGTTTCCACATATATTCACTCTCAACTAGCTTTAACTGAATTTTATTTATTACACACCAGTCATATTTTATTTATTGCAATTGTTCAATAACCGAGTTCGATGAAATCTTGAATATGATCTTCGATCTTGTAATTCAATATGATATATGTGTTTGCATTATGTTTTTTTTTAAAATGATTTACTTCCCATTGTTATTGTAAGTTGATAGAATAGTAGGAGTAGGTAATTCACCAAATTTCCGTTATGGTAATGTTATTGGATGCCACATTAAAAAAGGTCTTCATTATTGACAATAAATTAATTCTGTTTTTGGTAATATCAACAGTAATTCAATATTATTGTTTATTTATAATTATTATTTATAATTTATAAAAATTTATAAACAATAATTAAAATAAATTAGTATTGATGCAATATGTCTTTGTGAATTGCTTTAGGCTGAAAATAGAAAGTGACTGAATATATAATATAGAAAAGCGATAAAGGAGACACAGATTTTCTACGAATATTAAAACATTTTTTAAAATATTCTCTTGACCAGAAAATATATCGTATTGTTTTGTATTTCTATCATTTTAAATGTTTAAATGATTTTTCATAAGAACATCAGCATAGTCGATTTTGAAAGTATATTATAATTGTATTGTAATAAAACAATAAGCCTTGTTTCGATTAACAATAATTTTGATAAACAAACGTAGTATGCTTCTTTGTAAAAAATTATTTGTCATTATGTCTTATAATTATTATGCATGATTACTACAAATTTCGTAACTATATAACTATATTTATTATTTATTTATATAATTTAAAGATTCATTTCCATAATTAATATTTTTTACTACTACTGATTTTAAACATACATGTAAAATATATGTTAATATATATACAAAAAATTCACATCAATTTATAATTAGAGATAAATAAATTATAAATTACATTCAGTATATTTTTTGTTGCATGATTTTATATGATATGATCAAATCAAGCCCTTTAAAAATGCATTGATGATTAAAGGAAAGTTATTAAGAAGTTAGTATATATAAATTATATTTCCTTTTTCTATAGTAATTCAAAAGTTGAAAATAGTAAGATTAAAAAATTTTTTTAGGTTATTTATAATATTAATCAATCAATTATCAATAAAATATAGATATTTTAATTCTGGTTTTAAATAATGATAGACAAAAATGAAAATATTTATTTTATTGTCATCAAACTATTTGTATATTTATACACTCACTACAAGCATTGATATCTTCAAACACTCTAGAGTATATTTATATAGTATATATATAGTGATACTTCTTTTTCATTTTAAATACGAACTGTTATAATTTGATTAAAATAATCTCTAAGAATGCTAGTAAGGAAATTACAATACCGAATAGCTTCTAAGTATATTGTAATGTAAAATATTTGTTTATTGTACAATGCGAATACCTACTATAATTTCGTGACTTTATTATTCGTGAAAAATGTATATTTATTGTTAATCAAATAAAAAAATTATTAAAGTTTTAGTTTGAGTTAAAATTATTTATTTTTTAAAATATTGACTTACCGTTCATCTTGATAAGTACATCCTTCAATATAGTCATGATATATATTATCTCTATGGTAATTATTGTGATCCAGATATTTTTGATTAAATTTTCTGGTTCTAGTATCACAAATATAATTATCAAAATGTAAGTGATCATCGTATAATGTTCTCTGTTTTTCTAAAGATGGCGTACTTCGTGAATCTGTACATAATTACGATTATCGTATATTAAAATAAAAATTTTTTATGAATGCATATTAATAATAAATCAAATTGAAAAAAATTTCAAAATAAAATTTATAACCATATTTTCTTTATTATAATTTATAGTATAAGCCTATAAATAAGAGACGTCTAATTAAAATTATTTATAAAAATTTAAAGAAAGATAATTGCTTGCATCATCTTATTTTTTCAATTATAATGCTGTTTTTAAAAAAATGCGTATTGAAATCAAATTTCTATAAAAAGAACAGTTTAGTAATGTAAATTCAATTTCCTATTAACTTTTGTAAAGATATACTATCTTGTAAATATCAATTTTATTATTTTGAGAAATATAGTATCATAAATTTAATAATATTTTTAAAAGTTCTTAAACTAAAAGTTTTTCTTATTTAGTTTGTAGTAATAGTTTGGGTCCTACTACTTTTAAAATTTATAATCAATTTTATATATCTAATTACTTTTTTACATACCCAACGCTTAATAGCTTAAAAAAAGAACTTTATTATATAAAATATGAACCGAGACATTTATGTTCAGAAATGTAGCAGAGTATTAATGGATTAATGGAATTTACCTCGCTTTACATATAGTTTTATTCCTACTATTTACACAAATTGATTGAATAATATTTATATGCTTATTTATATGTATAAAAAAGTATTAAAGAACCCAAGTATATAATAAGTATTCTCTTTAATATTGCTCCTTATTTACATTTTGAAATAATTTTTTATTTTTATTATCATTTTATTATTTATCATTTAAAAATCATATTCCCGTTTAGTCTAATTTCGGATTTTTATATTTTACTTTATTGGTTTTTCCATATTGTTACTGTAATGACAAATTAATAGATTTCGAACTCAAACGTTATATTTGTCTAGATTTTTATGTACGACAGTATTACACAAGCTATGCATTATGATCTACTCAAATGGTATTAAGAGCTTTTAGGACAAAAGTAGTTTTCATATAAGCTACTATGTATTTTCCTGATTATTCAGTAAAGTCAATATAGATTTTAGTACTAAACTTTCCTAAAAAAAATTTGTGCAACAGAAAAAAAGCAAAAAAGTTCTCGCAAATTAAAATTAAACTAGTCGACTGATTACTCTAATGATTATTAATAAAATAACAGTTATTAAGTCACGCATATTGAAATTATATGCTAATTTTTTAAGTAAACTCAATTGGCCTAAAAAAAAATGTTCGACAATAACGTGTATCGCATTCAAGAGGGAATAATAAAAGTTGTAATAATATTATATTATGAAAAAGATATGCGTTATGAAAAGAGAAACAAAAATTATATTTTTTCAACTGTAGATAATAATAGGTTTAAAAAGGATTTATCATATTTAAAAATTAATATTATCTTTAAGTTAACAAAATAATAATAAATATTATTGGCTATCTATAACTGCTTACATAATTAATTGTATTTAATATACAAGATATAGGATATGCTATAATACCTTTTATAAAATGTATATTTTTCTAATTCTCACATAAAGAATAATGTTTTAGAAATTAAGTAATCGATATTTTGTTTCTATAACATTAATTGTAATAATAGCTATTAATAATTTAATGCGCACCTGTTTTTCGAATACTTTTAATTGCCATATTAGGAGAATTTTGTATATCGTTGTAAATTCTCGTATTATTGATTTTCAATACTTGATAGTTATAATGATCATTATAACAATCTTCTTCTCTGAAAAAAACACATATCATTTTGAAAATATAAATATAAACACCATTTTTATCAGCTTTAGTGATATATATATATATATATAAATATTAATATAAATTATTCTTAAAAATAATTTATTAGAATAATCTTCTAAAATAAATGAAATAATTATAATTGCTACTAAATCATAATTTTGTATAAGTAAGTGAATAGTTGAAAAATGTTCATATTTCAGACTTTTTAAATAAAATTCCTTATAAATATCTATTAATAAAAAAATATTGATGTAAAAAATTAGATACATAAAAAATTTAATTCGCCATAATTAGATTTTATTTATCAACACATATATTAATACATACATATATTGTTATCAATATATATATAATTAAATATTAATATAGGCAAGATCAATGCGTTACCGTTAACCTTTTTATGGCAATATGTTTAATGTTTAATGTTTAATATTTATTGTTACAGTATTCTTCAATTTTTCAAAACTTGAGTTAAATCATAATTATTTCATATACACGTAAAAAATCTTTGTAATCAAAAGGATATTATCAAGGCACAAAATGTATTAAATCATAGTTTTGAACTAATTAATCTGTTAATAAAATATTTACAGACCCCAGTAATAGATGTACATTCATGTGTTTCATTTTACGTTTTTTATAATAAAAATTAAGATTATTTTATTTAAACTGTATGTTTATAATTTTTTTCTATTTAATATAGCAATATGCTAAATTGTCATCAAGCATTTTATTTTTTAGATGAATTAACAACTTGTATTATCTTACGTTTATTATGAGCTATTGAATTTAGTCCTAAAATTAAGTTAATATAGATAGAAATTATTTGTATTCACTTAAGGATTCCTTCATTTTTAATTAATTAATTATCTTTACTTTTAAACTTACACTGTTATTAACATTCAATTTTTTTAATTTTGCAGATTGGAATTTTAATGTTCTGCTGAATCTGTTGTTATTACAAATAGTTGTATAAAAAATACATGGTTTTATCTTAACTGCTGATCTTTCTTATTTTTATTTAATCTTTTTTTGAATATACTGTATATGTAGGTTTGAAAATTTTTTATTTTCACTATGTTATAGCATAACTTTATAAAATTTACTTTTCTTATATTAATTTCAGAATGACTTATTTATAATCCTACTTATATCTATTTATATGTTCTTTATCTTAAAGTTATTTACTTAAATTTTTTATTATTTTCAAAATCTTCAGGAATCTTCAAAAGAATAAGTAAAAGAAAAAAAAATAGATAAGAATAAGTAAGAAACTATTTAAAATTATGCTGTCTTTATTTTAAATAATAATTATAATAATAATAATTATTATAATTATAATTATAATAATAATCTTTATTTTAAATAATAATATTTATTTTAATATTATAAATAGCTCAGGTTTATTTTGTTATTTAATCTTATTTGATTAATTTAAATAACGAAATATGTTATATTACTTTGTAAATTATTCATTGAATACAAAAAATCTAGTATCTAGTAAAACATTATTACAATTCAATGATTTAGTTTTTAACTTTGTAATTTTCTGTGACCGTTATTTTTATATCAAGATATCTATTTTTCTATTTATCTGTTTGAAGGTAATATTTATTTATTATTTAGAAACTTATTTATTAAAACGTATTTATATTAAAACATATATGTATCAAAAGATATTTGAATTAAAAATAAAAGTAAACATATATTATAATGAAATACATCATTTAGACACTGGAAAATAAATAATACTACATAGGATTCTGTACTTCTAATATGTACCAAATTTAATGACCTATCCATATCAACTTTCATGTTATGTTGGAGCCCGTAATTTACTATTGATAAGTCTCTTTTTCTGATATAAATTATCATCTATATGCTTTTAGAATATCTGTTTATGAATAAGTAATATATTCAAAATGAATACACATTAATTTAGATTATAAAAAGTATTTTTTAATAGAGAATACAATTAATAGTTTTATATGATTTCTGTAATTTATGTTAAAGAATTAATAAATTATTGATAAGGTCATGTAAAATTTAGTAAAATTAATAACACGATATTTCAAGTATTTCATTTTTTGAAATCTTATTGTATATATAATTTATACATATAACACCAATGTTTATTATAATGAGCTTTATTTTGCTTTATATACAAAAATCAAATAAATATAATTACTTAAAAGTAAGTATATATTATATTTAATTTTAGAAATGTCTGTATGAACATATATAATCTATATAATAAGTAATTATTATATAAACAATGTTTTAATTATTACTTATGGTGTAATTTATTTTAACTTAAAATTTATAAATTTATTAAATTATTAACATTAATATAAAATCATGAGTATATATATTAAGGTTACTTATGTTAATATAAAGAATCAGTATATATTGATGTAATTACTTTGGTCAGGTCAAATATATATAATAGTAATCTTTATAAACTGAAAAAATAATATTGAAACAGTGCTATAAAATATTCAAAATGTAATTTGCCATTATAACATATTTCACAGTAATATTTTTTTAATCTATAATTCACTATTATAAACTTAATACAGAAAATTTTTAAATTTTGTCTTTAAAAAAGGAAAAAAAAGAAAATAATGAAGCACATGAATATTTCAGAAGAAATACGTAAATAATTTGAAAGTCTACAAATAAGATAATCTAAAAAAGTAAATAAATAATTATAATAAAAATATTATGGCGACTTTTTAAATTTTATATAAAAGATATAAACAATCATTATTTGTTATTAATAACAGTGAGTTTACATTATATTATATACATATATAATGATTAAATAATGTTTAAAAAAGTATTCATTTTTAAATTCAAACTATTTACCTGTATTCTTTATAGTACTTTGGTCTGCTATTATAAAATAGTGGTTCAGAAGACTCTCCACTATAATTCATATATCTTTGACAACTATCATCGCCAGGATAAGGCTCATTATACCGTAGTCCTTTAGCTGAATAGTCGCTGAAAATTGCTGGAGTTAAACTACTTGCTACATTTGTCGGTACCTTAATCAACGAGAAAAAAGTTTATGTATTTACAAATCATATAAGTGAATACACAACTTACCTGTTGATCGTCTCGATCATAACTATTTTCTCTAGATGTTTCCAAAGAACTCTGTGGTGTTTCCAATTGAGTCGCAGCTGTACAAAATTGTGATATCGAACTGTTAGCTCCTTGTCCATCAACAGGATAATTAAAGTCCGATGTATAATCTGAATCTTCTGAATATCCAGCTATTGATTTAGAAATTAAAATTAATATTAATTTTAAAACTTTTGTACAAGATCCAGTTTATAAAAAAATAATTTTACATGTACTTAATTTGCAATAATGAAAAAAAAAATAATAGTAAGTTTTTGAGCATAAATTTAATTAAAGTCAAGAAATTTGTAATAAAGACACTCACTTCTTCAAAATATTTAACAATAATGTATCCATATACCTTATATTAAAAATATGTCAGAAAGGATTTGAATTTTTATATTATTTAATTATATTAGTTTTCTACATTTAAAACTTAAAATTTTAATATTTTCTCTTTATAATTCTATATCTATTTAAATAATTTTAATAATTATTTAAATATTATAAAACTATAATTTTTAAATACATGGATCGAATATATTATTTAAAACAAATATAACTGTTCTGAAAATTATCCAGATTTCTGTTGCTGGCTGTTTAACACATGGGCATTCCCAAACATAATATTATAAGAACAGATCCTAATGGATATCCTTGAATAGATATACATTTATTCATTTTATTATGTAAAATAAAATTAAGAATAATTTTCAAAGTAAATTTTTTACAAATTTTAAATCTTTTTGATGAATATAACAGAATTAAGTATTTTGAAATTTAAAAAGCAGTGTTTAGAATTCCAGTCATCCGGTGGTCGAAGGACCAGGATGATTAGGTTAGACTATGGCCATCAGTTGCCTGGTGGGAGAAAAAGTGCGGGCAAGTGGAAGGGATAGCGGATTAATTCAATATTTAACACATTTGCTTTTCGTGTTGTTTATTGCTTTTTACTTTACAAACTACACAATACTGATTCTAAGTTGGTCATGAGAATCGTTGAGATCTTGTAGTTCCGTGGTGGTTGCTACGTGGCGTTAATATACATTACAGGCAGAGGTAGGCGGTCGTAATCTCTGGATTCTTTTGACGTAGTATGCTTAGTGGTAAATTATAATACTGAGAAGAGGTCGCAAATATCTGGTACTTCTTCGTGTAGTGATACGTGATAGTAATTTGTTAAGATAACTTACTGGAGAGCCCTTGTTAGCCTTGTAATAGACGCACTATTCTTGGAAAAGCTTTGTTGGCCTTTCGTTACTTCTGTATAAGATGCTAGTGATACTCACATCGATGCAGTTGCCTTGCCTGATTTTGTGATCAATGCTTTGATATTGCGCTTCTTGTAGTTGTGTATGTTCTTGTAATGCAGTCAGCACCTTTGACTACTTGTTAATTGTTGCACACTTGAGAATTGAACATGTATTACTTATAATGGCTTCACTGTTTTAGCATTTCCAATTGACTAGGTTATATCTGTAAATTTTGGCTGAATGGCTTAATTACAATGAGCGCCTACAAGCCTGTTGAATACGGACGCAAAACTGAAGGAGTAATCCATGGCAGCTCTGCTGAGAGGTAGCGATTGTTCCATGACGGTCCTGCTAAGACAGACCATGATCCGTGCTATGGCCTCTTCATTGAGAGGTTCACTGAGAGAGCGAGGCTCGTTGCGTTCTTACTTTACATATCTACGCGACAGTTTTGTTAGCTGTCACTGCATAGGTGTTCCTATGTAGATACTAGACCAACTTGCAGACGTTCCAGAATTTAGCTTTAGAAGTTTCGAGAACTCTGAGAAACCAAAGCATTAGCCAGATTGGAGAATTGCAACCGACGTTGTTATGCAAAGACCAGATAAACATTGTAGAACGTTCAAAAGCAAGACTTTGGAATATTCGAGACTACTCGGAATCAAAGGCCTTGGAAAGTGCTCTAATCCTGAACACAGAGGGATAAAAAAGAAAGCAGGACAGAAACTAATAATATAAAATTATCCTACAAAAATATAATAGGTATAAAAAAAAAATGCAAATCATTTTAAAACTATTTATTTATTAAACCATTAATTTCTATTTTACTTTTTGTATTAGAAAGGCATTTTTTTTTTTATTGAAAATTTATAGACAGGAAAGAAATTTTAATGTTAAAATAAAATAAATTTCATTTAAATATATATAAAAAAATCTATTCTAAACTAATTTGTCCAAAGTTGAATAATTTTATATTGAATAAAATTTTTAATGGATTGATAATAAAAAACTATAAGTAACTTACAATGAGCAATGTTGTACATCAACTGTCGATGTCCTTGTTCAGATCCTATTTCATTATCCACTGTGCTATTTAGCATCTCTAGTTTCTGTTGCAGATCAATCGCATTTGTATTTTGTGCATCTGTTTAATGAAATGAAATTTATTTGAAGAAAAATTAAAATTATATATAATTTAATAAATTATACATAATCATATAAATATAAGCAAATGAATAATATAAATACTAAGATATATACTATTTGGAAGTATGTAAATCAAACTTAAGGAAGAAAAAATTGTTCCCATTTCATTTTCTGAATTAAAGCATTTTACTTTATTTCCCTTTTTGAATTAAATTGTTTTATAATTTTATACATGCATTTTGCTTTTAAATATTATAATGAATTTATATAATGAATTAAAATAATATTTAAATATTATTTATGATGCTAAAGTTTTAAATTTATATTTTTATCATAACTACCTTATTAATAACATTAACTAAATAAAATTTAAAATAAATGATATTAACCTTAATTATTATTTTTATTATCTTTTTAAATATTATAATTTTGCAAAATCTTAAATAAATTATAAGTTTTTCAATGCACTCAATTATCTTTCTTAAAGTGACAAATTTTGCATACGTATTTTCTTCAAGTTTAAACTTACTGAAACATTTAATAGAATCTAATTGCATGCTTATTCTTATTGATATTTATTACTTCATTTTATAAAACATATACAATTTTTTGAACTTGGAGAATGAGCATTTGCAATATTTATAAAGGTTCTTGACTCTTGTTACATCAAGAACATTTTTCATTTATGGAATGCTGTTATGGTATTTTACAATAAATTTTTTGAATTTCTATAAGTTGCTTCAATACAAATTCATTGTAATTAAAACTTTCCATTTGTTTTTCAGATTATATTGTTCAATAACATATTTTTAATATCTTTTTCTTGTTTCATATTTTGTGATTAAATAATTTTTTAAATTTTATTATGTTTCTTATATTTATTTTGAAATTTAATATATAGTATCTACTGAATTATATTATGCTTATAAATTTAATACATTCAATCTATCATTTGTATGCATTTCATGATATTAAATGAGTGCATATTTAATTTACTACACCTTTTATAAGAATAAATATAATTTTCAGTTTTCGAACTTCGATAGATTAACAATAAGGACATAAATATTATATTATTAATACTGTCTATATGTACTGTCATATAAAGTATGATACAAGTATATATTACTTATACTTAAAAGGTAGAATGAAGATCTAAGAGAATTTAGTAATTAGTGTTTATGAAATAAAATAAAAATTTTACAATTTACCAATTTCTTATAAAAACGAATTTTTTTTATAAAAACCGTATATTGTCCATTTACGTCATACACAGCTTGCTAAAAATTACATTATAATGTGAGATACATAATACATAATCATGAAAAATAATCAGATAAATTAGATATTATTAACATTTTTCCATAGAATTAATTGTCATAAATTTATTACTTTTTTTCACATTCAAATATGTAGTTCAAGTTCCCTTCTTTTATACAACTTTTATGGGTCTTTACATATTAGGCTACTAAATAGAGGCATTTTTCAAATTCATAGAATTTCTCATTTACATTATTAATGTAATTGTTTGACCTATTATATATTTCAATTAAAAAGTTAAAATTAACACAAAATTTAGTACTTATCTATTTAAACCATCTTCCATTTTAGAATAAAATTTTCAGAACTATAGAATTTAAAATTTAGCCTAGAATAAGCAGCCGTATATGTTTTATTTTATCCTTTACAATTATATATGTGTAAAATTCATAAATATGAATTCTGTATTGTATATAAATTCTGAAATATCAATAAGATTAAATTTCAAGATATTTTTTATTCCTGTAAACTAGTTAGGAAAAAATCAAATTTGATTTAACTTCAAATATGTGATCATTAATATATTTATCATAATTAGCATTGTTATCTTCAATTTTTATGAATCATCTACAGGTAAAAAATTAAAAAATACATACAGATTATTGAAGTCGTAAATTTATATTTTGTGTTGACATTGTGTTGTATGTTCAATATGAACGTTGTTACAAAAACAAATACTATATGTAATTACTTGATCAATTATTTTGTAAAATGTTTTATTTAAAAAATCAATCTTGAATAAAAATTAAAAAAACTAAAAGAAAAATAATTTTTCTGAAATATTCAATATTATTTGTAAATAGAACTTCTCTCTCCCTTTTTCTCTCCCTTTCTATCCATATTACATATTTATATCTTTTTCCTTGTGGGACAATATCTAGACTATAAATTTACAAACTGGTACATAAAAATATTTAAATGTCAATAATAATATATAATATAAATTAGTAAATAATAATATATAAAATATATAATATCTAAACGAAAAAAATATAAATAACTATAAACAATTAAATTTAAAAAGTATAAATAATAAAATTGTAGATTAAGATAAAATTATATTTATATGAATTTTTTGCTCACCAAATGGCAGTTCAAACCTGCAATCTATTAGAAGAGTATGTCCAGTAGGAGTTTTAGTGCCTACTACTTCCCCACCTTTCATTTCTAGCTCTGAATCCAAACTGACCCATTCTCCAAAACCATTCTATAAATAAAAATGTATATTATTTTGTTATAAAACAAAATATCCCAACTTTCATTATTAAGTAATTAACAATATTTAAAATTTTTAATGAGTTAAATTTTTAATGAATGTATAAAAATAATTATTCACTTTATATTGTAACACACTTTATAATTAATCATAATTAATTGTATTTAGCAAAAAATATTTATGATTTATTAAAAAACAAAATTTCATATATTTATAGTTCAACAAATTTAAAGTTTATTTTATATATTATTTCTTGAGATAAATAATACAATGTAGTAATTAAATTAGTAAGATTCAAGCTAACTTAATCAATTATGACTATATAATTTATTCATAATTTAAATATAATTTTCAGTAATAAAAATAATACAAAGTGATCAAATTCATATGTAATTCATAATTCCATTCTATTTAGACAAAACAAACTTGGAAAATATATGCAAGAGTTCAATAATTTATACACAATCACAAAGTTGTAAGAATCATGTAATGTACACTTGTATTAGATGATAGAGAGATACGATTAGATTATAATTCAGTGAAAAGGGTATGTTGTGAGGTATAACAAATAATTATAATGGAAGTATTTCATTAGTTTCTAAAGCAACAGTGAATAAGTAATAAAATTATTAATATTATTTGGATTTGTAACATACTCTACTCTTTCTTATTACAAACAGAAATAATAGCACTATTTCATATTCTCAAAAACATCATATTTTTCAAATGATTAAATAAAAAATTAATTATTATTGGTGATTCATATAAATATATCGATTGACATATCCTTGCTTAGTAATGAATGTCAAGTTCAAGTTTTTTTCAATATTAAAAACAAGTCATGTTATACAATCAAATATATGTATTTTTACAGTTTATAAGTTAATTTATCAACAATACAGATTAACGTATTATTCAAATATTTTATTATATAGATCTTCATTATTTTTTAAATCTATTGTATTAGTTCAAATAATGTAAATATATGACTCAGTCAAAGTTATTTAATAAAGAAATAGTTTTAAAAAACAATTATAATTAATAAATTTATTATAATTTTAATCATTGATATTCTTTTATATTATTGAGTAATAAAATTTCAGAGAACTATTAATTTAATTGCTAAATTATCAGTTTTAAATAAAAATAAGAAATGTTGTAATGAAAAATCGCTAGTCTGTTTTAAAAAATAACAAATAAAATATTTTTTTAAGAGAAGAAAATGATTTAGGTAATATACAATTGAAAATTCATAATTTCAAAAATTGTTTTACATATAATTTTAATAAATAATTTATGTATAGAGCATAGATTTGTAAATGGATATACTTTAAGGAGTTCAATAATCGAAATTTCAAATAATGAACAATAGTTTAAATTATAAGTAATGTATAATTTTATTTTATAATGATAATAAAAAATCAAAATTCTAGTAAAATTGACTTTTATCAACTGTTATGTATCTCTTATATTTTCAAATTTCAAATTAGAATTTCATTAATATAAAATTTATTTGAAAATTTATAATAACCACTATTTTAAATACATAAATTTTTCATTTAAGCGAATTTTGCATTTATATAAATTAGTCAACCAACGAAATTTTCAAATTATTTAGAGATACATTTCTTTATATATGAAAAAAGTTAAATACAAATACATAAAATGTTATGCATAATATAATAAACAGTGAAAATACTTTTTCCATTTTAATATTTTATTTTAGCATTATTTTTAATATTTATGATTATATCATTTTGTATCTTATAATTATATCGTAAAAATAGACTTTGCTTATAATGTATATTAATCTTTTAGGAAAATATCAGTTTTCCCAACAGAAATTTCTGACACTTCGAAACAAGTATGTATAAAGTTGAAAATGTTTAAATTAAATGTACCATAAATTAATATATTAAAATAAAATATATCAATATATTAAAATATAATAAATTAATATTTAATAATATAGTCTAATATATATTAATTATACTAAGAGTTTGTAAAATCTGTTTAGTTGTTACCTCGTTTGAATATGGTATTGCGGGTAATAAAAGGTAGTAATAACCTAAAGCGCGATCCCATAGTATCCCTTTACACCAAACTTCTACCAGCAGTCCAATGTTGATTTCATTCGTTTCACTGAAATTTTGATATGCTGATAAGATGTTTGCATAACTTTTGTTTTTAATAATTTTTAATAATATATTATAATCATTAAATTTTAAATAAAAAAATATAATGAATTTTATATCCATTACCTTAAAACAAATAAGATAATCTGATTTCTTAAAAATATGTTTAGTATGTATTATAAATTCAATTATAAAAATTAACATCTTTGGTGAATTTTTATTCTTTTATACTTTTTATATTTTTAATAGTTGAAGGAGAAGATAGAATTTTGTAGTATTGCTAATCCATTACAAACAATAATAAATACACTGTCTGGGATCAGACTAAAAACCTTATGATGGTGGGTGGAGGCTTGCTGGCAAGTGGAAGGGGCAATGCAATTATTCAATACTGTCCTTTGTGTTTGTAGTCGTTACTTTTATTAATGTAATAAGTAATGAGTAGTTAATAATCTATTAATTATTATAATGAGTGTATGATATAGTGAATATATTAGTGTTTCTTCAGTAGTAGCGGTGACGATGAGTCTGTGCGTGTATTCTTGATGGCCTGAAGTATGATTCCCCTTCTTTTTGGGTTTAGTCGTCGTGGTGGTAGGGGAAGCAAGTTAGTGCCGTCTTGGTAGCCGGCGTAGGGTGAGCTGTAGTGTACGAAGTGGTGGGAGAATGTCCGTATGACGTCACAGCTTGTGTATGTGAGCTCCAAGGTAGTGGTGGTGTTGGTGCACGTTCATGTACTCGATGCGAGCGTAACTCGCGGTGTATAGGTAAAGGTAAGAAATAGCTTCGACGTTACTTACATGCGGGCGTAAATCGCTTGTAAGGTCCTATGCAGAATGAGAGTCGGCGTTACTTGCACGTGGTGGTGGGAGCTGTTTGATGTGCTAGCAGAGTGGCGATCGCGTGGTGAGGTAATATGCAAGAACGTGAGCCAGTGTTACTTGCATGCAGTCGAGAACTGTGTGATGTGCTAGCAGAGTTGCGATCCTGTCGTGCTGGGTGCTTGTACTAGAAGGCTGGATCGCGGCGCGTGCAGCTCCTTAAATATTCTCGGACAAATTCGATGCGCCGTTAGCGCATCGGTGGATGTTACCATGCCGCTATTTTGTGTGACGTCAATTACGCCTAGCTTTTTGGGGGTTCATTTGTTAATATTTCTCGGAATAATATTCGTATGTTCGAGTTTTTCGGTTAGAAGCATTGGTTAAGTCCGTTGGCCAATGTTTACCAAACAATGCTTCGCGCGCTCATACCTCTCCCACTTTGTATTCCGCTTAAAACTGTTGTAATCCGTAACATTCCGCTCGCCATCATCAATTCATTGATGATTAAAATCCGTGTCTTCTGTGGGAACTGGTAGAACTGCAAAAATGTGTATTGGTCGCTTGATTGTCGAAGAGGCAGTTTTTAATGTCACCACTCTGCTCAATCCATCCCTTGCAGGGTGCAATTCTAACACTCTGCCGAGAGGCCATTTGCATGCAGGTAGTCTTTGGTCTGTGATGAGGACTAGTGATCCGACCTTGATAGCATAGTTTGGATGATGCCACTTGGATGTCGAAAGGTACTGTTGCAGGTAATGTTTTGTCCATTGCCTCCAGAACTGTTGGACTCGTTGTTATATGCTTTGCCACTTTGAATGCATTAATAAATTTGAGTCATTTGCTGATGGATCTGGTAGAGTATTAAGGGGTCCTCCAATGAGAAAGTGCTCTGGTGTAAGGGCTGAACAATCATCAGGGTTGTCAGTTAATGATTGTAATGGACGTGAATTCAGGATGGTCTCTATCTGGGTTAATAGCGTTATGATTTCTTCAATGGTAAATGATGTGTCTCTTGTCGATCGATTGATATGGAATTTGATAGATTTAACTGCAACTTCCGGTCTGTACTCGATGCGAGCGTAACTCGCGGTGTATAGGTAAAGGTAAGAAATAGCTTCGACGTTACTTACATGCGGGCGTAAATCGCTTGTAAGGTCCTATGCAGAATGAGAGTCGGCGTTACTTGCACGTGGTGGTGGGAGCTGTTTGATGTGCTAGCAGAGTGGCGATCGCGTGGTGAGGTAATATGCAAGAACGTGAGCCAGTGTTACTTGCATGCAGTCGAGAACTGTGTGATGTGCTAGCAGAGTTGCGATCCTGTCGTGCTGGGTGCTTGTACTAGAAGGCTGGATCGCGGCGCGTGCAGCTCCTTAAATATTCTCGGACAAATTCGATGCGCCGTTAGCGCATCGGTGGATGTTACCATGCCGCTATTTTGTGTGACGTCAATTACGCCTAGCTTTTTGGGGGTTCATTTGTTAATATTTCTCGGAATAATATTCGTATGTTCGAGTTTTTCGGTTAGAAGCATTGGTTAAGTCCGTTGGCCAATGTTTACCAAACAATGCTTCGCGCGCTCATACCTCTCCCACTTTGTATTCCGCTTAAAACTGTTGTAATCCGTAACATTCCGCTCGCCATCATCAATTCATTGATGATTAAAATCCGTGTCTTCTGTGGGAACTGGTAGAACTGCAAAAATGTGTATTGGTCGCTTGATTGTCGAAGAGGCAGTTTTTAATGTCACCACTCTGCTCAATCCATCCCTTGCAGGGTGCAATTCTAACACTCTGCCGAGAGGCCATTTGCATGCAGGTAGTCTTTGGTCTGTGATGAGGACTAGTGATCCGACCTTGATAGCATAGTTTGGATGATGCCACTTGGATGTCGAAAGGTACTGTTGCAGGTAATGTTTTGTCCATTGCCTCCAGAACTGTTGGACTCGTTGTTATATGCTTTGCCACTTTGAATGCATTAATAAATTTGAGTCATTTGCTGATGGATCTGGTAGAGTATTAAGGGGTCCTCCAATGAGAAAGTGCTCTGGTGTAAGGGCTGAACAATCATCAGGGTTGTCAGTTAATGATTGTAATGGACGTGAATTCAGGATGGTCTCTATCTGGGTTAATAGCGTTATGATTTCTTCAATGGTAAATGATGTGTCTCTTGTCGATCGATTGATATGGAATTTGATAGATTTAACTGCAACTTCCGGTCGGCTGTCAGTGAAGATCGTTGGTTTGCCGAATCGGAGTGGAATGAGGAGAGCCGTTGGATGGTTATTCGTGGAACGGTAGTGAGGCGTAGTGGCTCGATCGATCCGTAGCCGATCCC